CAAACTCAAATATAGTGTACAACAAAACAAACAAAAAAAAGACTGCGAAATATAAGTGCCTAAGCATAAAAGTTTGTATCTTTTTCTTATAGTGTAAACTTGTAAACGACATTGAATTGCAGGTTGCTGTTTTACGTAAAACATTTTATTTCAAAAATTGCATCTAAATCTGTTTTTGTCAAATTGAATAAATTCCTGTTCGTGCTTCACCGTAAATTGTATACAGTATATACATGCATACAGTTGAAATGGAATACGTATGTATTGTATGAAGTTGAAAGTCATAATATTTTGGTTTAATATGCAATGTATAATTATATATTTTTTCCTTGGCTTTTAATAATGAGCGCAACCGAACTGAATTGTAAGGTCAAGGTTAAGCAAACATAGATATATCATACGAGGGTTTGTTTTAGAGGCGCAAACAGGAATACGCGACCTTAAAGATAATTTTTATAAAGCTAATTAACTGAAGTTTAAAAGCACGTTTTGTATTTGAAATCAAACAAAATTAATACCAAAGATACATTCTTCACAAATTGGTCTGAAAGCAAGAATAATGCCATTGATTAACTAAAGGGTAGTTGCTTTTATGTTTGTGGTTGATTGTGCAGATAAAACAGTTTATATCTTCTTGTATATAAATTGAAGTTTTTGCAAAGCAAACATACTAGTGCTGCTTACAAAATTGTCCCTTTCATATTAGTTATACAATACGATGTAGAAAAAAAAATCCCTAAATGCTATTTGTAATGTACGAGATGTATGCAATGACAATTAAAACTTTGTTGACTTTTTAAGTTCTCAAACATCTAATTCAACAAAAAACTAATTAACGCAAGTCACTAGCATAACATAGCAATTCCTCTTATACCACTGAGTGAAATTTAATGAAACTTTCACAGAATCTTTATTACATATTGCCATTGTGCACCTCCTATTTTACTTTTTGATCCGATATATATTTTGGGTTTCCCGGCCACAGCAAAACATGGACTTTTCTACTATAATCATATGGGAGGCGGGGGTATCATTTAGTGAGCTCATTGCTCTCAGTACCCCTATATATATATAGTTTAATTTATATAATAGTCAGGTAATGCAATCAAAAGGAAAATAGGATATGTTTAAGGAATCACTGTCTAGTTAGTATAGTATACCAGGGCATCAACGATAGACTAAGTGGGAAACATGGCATAATTTGCATAACGGGCGAAGCATAAATTATGCATAAATTATCCCATGTTTTCCACTATCGTTGATGTCCCTGGCATACTATACTAACTAGACAGTAATTCCTTATATTTCCATTTCATTGTGAAATAAAATTGAGGATTTAGACTATAAAAATGTAGGCATAGGTTTAAATTACACGAGGGCTCCCATGGCAATTTCAATACTCGTCGCCCACTGACGTCAACCACAAAGAAAGCCGCACGAGATTTACATGCATATTTCGCCTCCTTAGCGTCAGACAAAGAGGCAAATGCGCACGAGATTTGCATGAATATTAGGCCTTCTTAGCTCCTGACCTATCGACCTGCCTAATTTACATGCCGGCAGAATTATTAAGAAATCAATTCCTCTAACTTTCAAAGAGTTATCACAGAGAGAAAAATTAGAAATGGAACTAATATATTTCAGTTAGGAATGTCAACGAGTACCCGGTTAACCGGGTACTCGATCGAACGCCTGAATATCGAATGCTAAAATCGATATTCGGTTACTCGGATGTATATTTTTGAATATTTCTGAGCTTATTCATTAATGCATTACACAATCTGTTTTAAAATGTAAAATGCTCATTGCACTTGTACATGCAGTAATTAGGGTTTCCTACGCCTCTAAATGACGGTTATCCTGTGGCAGTGTTTATACCTGTCAGTAATTATCGTGACCAAGCACCTGCTACCTGGTTTTTCTCACCTTCGGCCGTCTTCTACCCTTATTTTTGGTTTGCTTTAATTATTTGTTTTCACTGAACATCGTTTCAGGTCTATTATGTTTAAATAAACTAGTGCTAATTGTAACGGGGACCGTTACAGATGTTCCCCAAACGCTCCCCAAATCTCTTTTTGTGCCATATTACCTGTAAGCTTCATTAAATAAGACAAACTCTATGTTTTTGAGGCTTTAATATTTACCTGGAAGTGTACGAAGTTCATTCAAATTTTAGCATTGCATGCGTGCGCATGCGAATGCCTGTGCGTAATGACCATATCATTTTGTCTACACAATCCATATATTTTAATAAACTAAAAATTAAAGTATTTAATCCAAAAGTAATAAAAATACGCTCATTCAAGTGTATTTTTGATTTTGTTCATTTCACGTGCACGCACGTGCATACATGAGCACGGTGACCATACCTTCTTGTAGAAGATCATTACATCTATCTATGTTCTAAATCCCTTCCCATATGGTTGAAAACCAAGGGCGTTATACCTGTTAAAAGTTTCAGCCAATTAGTTTGCAGCGCACGTACACGCACGTGCGCATGTGCATGGTGACCATACCTTTCTTGTAGTAGTCCATTATATCTATCTATGTTCCAAATCCCATCCTGTTTGGTTGGAAACCAAGGGAGTTATAGCTGTTTAAAGTTTCAGCCAATCAGATTGCAGCGCACGTACATGCACGTGTATCCATGTGCATGGTGACCATACCTTCTTGTAGTAGTTCATTATATCTATCTATATTTCAAATCCCATCGTCTTTGGTTGAAATCCAAATGAGTTATAGCTATTTAAAGTTTAAGCCAATCAGATTGCAGCGCACGTGCATGCACGTGTTTTCATGATAATTGCTATATATCATATTGTAGGATATCCTAATGTATGGCTATAATCAAAATTTCAAAGCATTTCGTCAAAAGACAAAAAAGATATTGAGATTTTTGTTTCAGCCAATCAGAGTGCAGCGCACGTGCATGCGCGTGAGATCTTGCTATTTTGACCATGTCATATTGTCTATACTTCTAATGTATTCTTATATTATGAGTTCTAAAGCATTTCATCAAAAATTTAAAAAGTTACATCTATATCAATGTAATCGGTCATTTATCATGTTGCACGTGCGCGCTCTTGCAAGCACGTGCGCGCAAAATGACCTTCGTTCCGCAAATCTACATTACATGTCTACTGACCCTAAAAACATTTCACCTTAGTCTGATGTGTAGTTTACAAGATCACTCGCGGACAAAATTTTCCCAGGAAGAAAAATAAGAATAATAATAATAAAAAACAGAGTAAAAACAATATGTTCCCCAACTTCGTTTGGGGAACATAATTAGATAACTTTGTCAGTTCTCCGAGAAGCCGTAAATTTCCGGGAAAAGTGACAGATGATATTACACGTGTGATTGTTGATATAGTTGTGTTTGATTACATGCCAATACAAATGGTTGACGGCAAAGGTTTAAAAAAAACATGTCCATCGTTGCACCAAACTACAAAATACCGTCCCGTAATACTATAAAATCTAGGAGCGAAAAAGTGTACGAAAATCGTAAATCCGCTTTGTGAGGAGAACTTGATCAAGTTCCAGTTGATACTGTACGTATACCCGACGTCAAACGCAACAAAGAATTACATTACAATTAAGGAGCAGATTATTCTTTTATAAACAAAAACACTGTGAACCAATTATGATTTTATTTCTTGTGTTTACCAGATAAATAAATTAAACTTAAAAGAATGTTAAATTTAATTTCGTCGGACACGAAGTGCCCATCATTGCTACAACAGAAATATATTTACAGGTAAACCTCCTATCAGAGCATGTGGTTTTATTTCTACAAGAGTTTACAATATTTTACAGTCATCAATTTACTTCTTAATTCATATTTATTTACATTTTTACCGAGTACCCGGGTACTGGATCGGAAAAACGTCCGAGTAACCGAGTATTAAAAATTGACCGATTTGACATACCTATAAATTTCAATTTATATTTATTTCTTTTAAGAACCGATTCATAATTAAATTAACCATATAACTGTAGTCGTCGGTTACAATGAAATATATTGGTACTGACAAATGTGGGGCAGTAAATGTAATAGCGGGGCAAATCTGTTAATCATTTTTCAGGATGATCAAAGTTTGGAATTTTATTTGTTTACAAAGCAGGATATCAGTCAATATAAATATCATGTTTATAACATTTAAAAGAAATCTAATGAATTGATCACTCAACGAGCTCAACCGGACATGACTTTCCGGGACAAATCGACTTATATGGCTCAATTAATAAAATGTCCCACCGGCTATACATAAAAGCGAAAAGACATAAAATTGTTATTACCAGTTGATAAATATTCTCATGCAATGCGGTTACATCTATCACTTCAAGAAGTTGTGTTACACTGTACAGAATTCATAAATGATTCATTAAAAGTTCGATATAAAATGTTCTCCTATTTACTAAAGTAGGATTTGGATACCGAAATGAAAAATAATGCAGAAAGTAACTAGTAGTTGTTTTTTTTTAAATTTAGTCATGTGTGTATTCTCGCGGTTTTAGTTTTCAAAACAAACAGGATAACCGGTTTGACAGGAAATAAAAACCAAAAAAAATATATAAAGATTTTATTAAATAAAATATATAACTTTAAAAAATTTCATTATAAACAAATTTATCTTTCTGTGATACGAAACCCTATACTTTTTAATCAAATTAACTACCTAAACAAGGACTAATTCATTTGAAGTACGACAAATTATCTAAAACTGAGTAAACTGCAGCTTCTACATAGCTGCTGTTTCCTTTGCAAATTTTGTCGACTTTTAAAGACTATTGATATTTTACGGTCAAAATAACATTCTCTGAAATTCAGCTACAGCAACCTCGACTTAAGAACGCGGTTCATTAGTATCTTAACACTGTCCACATATCTTCCGATTGGAAGATTAAGAAATGCGTTATCACCTCTTGGCAAAACCTATTTGTCGAGGTCTAAGCAAACTCAAGTCAGAGTGAAATCTTTCCTCGATCAGCAACTAGCTAATTGGTACTCCCTCGTAGCGTAAACAAATTTATCGACGATATATCGATTTCATCAATTCAATTTTATTGGCTAAGTACGTTGATTCAAAGGTATATGTAGAAAATATCGTGAAGCACATCTGTGCTTTGCTTTCAAGCTGGGAGCTTCTTGTACCTCAGTCGGTGACGGTCAGAACTTAATTCCCCAATTACCTGTAAAACAGCATTTTGTGAAATGGTATATTAAAAGAATCGCTGTAGTTATCTTTAAGGAACTGTTTCGTTCTATAATCAAATTATTGCAGGTAAGTAATTTTTTCATTTCTTAAAGATTTTTTGTAATTAAATTAAATTAATTATAATTAACATCTTTACAGTCCGATCCGTTTCCTAAGTTTCTGTATAAACTTGTACCACTTTGCATGCTTAATATAAAGGTATAGCCTTAAAACAAGCGAAAAGTTGAATTAAGTCACCAGATGTTCTGTGAAGTGATAACAGAGAACCCTTAACGTAAAGATATGTTATCTATAAATAGATCAAGTGATATTAAGAAATTACTTCAACTATTATGATAAAGTGAGGAACACCTTTATAGTTATCGTAACAACTGTCAAGCAGCAGTTTTGGATTTCCTTTAAAAAGAAAAATGCGAGGTATTTTTATAAAAACAATTTCAAGGCTAAAAGTGATAAAATATTCTACCTTTATGCGGAAACTGTGTGGGAGGTATCGGTTGTTACTTAATTTTTTTTCCGTTTTTTTTCCAAAGATATATTAAATGATGAATCCAAGTTCACCATTTTAACTGGTGTCTCAATCAATGAATAGAAAGTTATACATTTTTGGCTTTTAAATGTCAGACTGAAATATTCTTGAAAATAAATAGTGCAGTGGTCGTTCATCTTCGTCATCCACCACTGTGTAAGAGAAAAATGAAATCGACTTTTATTGTGCAAATGCCATTTTAAAGCTATAAACATTGATAGGTTAATTCATATTTGCATCGTTTGAAACGAAAATGAGACAGATACTTATGCGCTATTGCCGTATGGAAATTAATACATTCAAGCTTAGAAAGTTCACTCTTTTATTACAACACAATGTAGTCTGATGTTCTAGCATTGCTGTTATGAGTGCCTTTTATACCTTCGTCTAACGTACACACCGCACAAGTATTTCAAGTATGGAATCTACATGTAATTATATGCTTTAAAGTGAAAAAAAATCTATTTTCAGTTAACCTCCTTCTACAGCATTAAATAAAGATTTTTTTTAATTTCTCTACTAAATTATTAAAACCAAGCTTGGATTGGTGATAATTGTGCAGAAAAGTTTACACTATGGTATTCTATAATTACCTATTATTAATATCAAGTTTTACCTTCTCCGGGGAACTCAGCTAGTAAAACTGCTTTGAACAGTATTTGCATTGTAAATCTAATGTAATTTAAAGCCGTAAGTACATCAATGAGTGACAATTTATTCCGAAGCATGTTTCATTAATCTATACAGAAAAGATCACTTTTTGATTTCTATTGATGTAAATTTAATTGGCAAGACAAAAAGTTAGAAATTGCCGTTCAATCAAATGACAGTATGCACAGCTGAAAAAAAAAATTCGACTTCATTAATGATTATCTCTTGAATTATTTTTGTTCAGTCTTGATAAACAGATCACTAGTGTTTTAAAGGACTCCATATTTGGACTGCCTGGATTTAAATATTTCTTGCGATAAACATATTCATGCTCTAATTCATTTTAAACAATTCAAATCTGGAACAGCGCAAACACAGTCTCGCAAAACATCATAGGCGGGATCAGGTGCCATGGAATAGTAAACTTCCCCTGCAAACGGGCACACCCCTATTAGCTGCAGAACTGTAGCTCTCCGAATAAAAAATATAATTGATAGACCGGAGAGCTACAGTGCCACCACCCATTGAAAAAACTGTATAATTATTGCGCACAACTGGATGAATTCTTCCAAATTCTTACCTTAACAGCAAAAGATTTAGATTTAAAAAAATTTCTTATTCTTCTATCAACTACTTCGTAGTTGACATCTACACGAAGCGCGTTGGGCCGAATTATCCTACAAACCAAAATGGCAGTAAAAACAGACGAAAATTTCGATGATCTCGATTTCAGGGCCAGGAGGGCTATAAACAACAACTATAAGGTATGTTTTGTTGTGGAGACTGAAAGATTATGCTAGGAATACACGGTTAGAAATATTTTGAGATTATAGTTTCAAAAACATGGAGAAATAAATCGATAAACAGCGCACTTTTTTTTTGCGCAATAAATATACATTTTTTTTAATGGGTAGCACTGTAGCTCTCCAGTCTGTCAAATTATTTTTTTCGGAGAGCTACAGATCTGCAGCTAACTCACCATCTGATCCTCATCATGATCGGTTAACGGAAAAATCCGTCAAAATTTCAGTGTGTATAAATATGATTGCCTATCAGTTACATATATAGTATGAAAAAAAAACGTCATGCAGTGAGCATTTTACCTAATGATAGATTGTATTTGCTGATAAGGTCATTGTATCGATACATTATAAGCTATAATCTTCTTCATGTCATAGTTACTCTCACTTATGATTGATTAGTAAGTTTACATCACAAGTGATTAAGAAAAATATTAAAAATTTATATGCAAAGTATTTTAGTGTGCATGTTAATGCAGACCATGTATCGGAATCGCAATTGAATACACATGTACAGTAGATTGGCAAATATTCATGATGGTTTTAATTTCGCTATGTTCGCGATATATTAATTTTCCGCGAAATTAAACCCATCGTAAATTTTATTATTTGTTTAAAATACATACCGGGTTTGTACAAGTAATCCCTTTTCTTCACTTCCCAGTAAAATTGGCTATAATAACACTGTAAAAACAAGATGTGTTTGTTAAACACTGATGCCCCCGTATGGCAACATAGCGAAGATTAAACTTTTCTTGATGCAAATTTAATTAATTGGTACCAAAAGTAGGGTATTCTCACTGGAAAACAATTGTGAAATTTGAAAGTAGGCCAATAGTAGAGTTTTTTCAATAAGTACAAAAATCACCAAGGTCAAGATCAAAAGGTCAAGGTAATTGGTATACAATGAAAGGTCTTGCCACATATAATACTTATGTAGAGTATGGAAGCCCTAACCCTATCCGTTCAGAAGTTATGGCCAAGGCTAATTTTTTTAAAAGTAGTTCAAACTCCAAGGTCAAGGTCAAAGGGTCAAAGTTCTTGTTATCAAATGAAAGGTCTTGTCACAAGAAAAAAATATGTAAAGTATGAAAGCACTAGCCCTAATCCTTTAAATGTTATAATCAATTTTTGCTTTTTTAAAGTAGGTCAAACTCATAGGTCAAGGTCAAAGGGTCAAAGTTCTTAGTATCCAATAGAGGGTCTTCTCACATGGATTAAATATTTGAAGTATGAATGCCCTATCCCTTTCCATTCAAAAGTTATGGCCAAGGTTAAAGTTTTTCACAAGTGCGGAAATCTACAAGGTCAAAAGGTCAAGGTTGTTGGTATCCAATGAAAGGTCTTTTAACAAAGAATATATATGTGAAGTATAAATGTCCTGGTATCTACTGTTCGAAAGATATGGCCAAAGTAAAAGTTTAAAATTTTCATGTAAAAGTGGGTCAAACTCCAAGGTCAAGGTCAAAAGGTCAAATTTTGTGGTACCCAAAGAAAGGTCTTGTCACAAGAAATACACGTGAAATATGAAAGTCATGGTGCCACCTAATCAAAAGTTATGGGCAAGGTTAATGTTTTTGCGGACAAACAAACAGACAGACAGAGAGACAGACACAGAGACAGACAGACGGACACGCCAAAAAACTATATACCCCCGAAATTTTGTTTACGGGGGCATAATTAAGCTTAACGCCCACCTCAAGATTTATAACCAGAAGTCTCTGTTCAGACTGAAGCTCTACTGGTTTGTACTTTTTACTTTTTTAGTAACCACGGCAACACCATTCACCTTAATCAAAAACCGATATGCAGAATTATGTACCTTAGAAAAGTCTACTTGTGTACCAAGTTAAATTGAAATCAGATCAAAACTGTAGTGCACATAGCATTTTAAAAGAATTTCACAGAAATTTCTATTTTAAGTAACAACCGCAACACCGTTCATCTAAATCAAAAACCGATTCACAGAATTATGTATCTTAGTGTAGTCTACTTGTGTGCCAAGTTATACTCAAATCAGACCATAGCTGTAGGAGGAGTAGCATTTTGAAAGAATTTCAAAGAATTTTCTATTTTTAGTTACCACGGCAACACTGTTCATCGAAATCAAAAACCGATACACAGGATTATGTATCTTAGTGTAGTCTACTTGTTTGCCAAGTTATATTGAAATCAGACCAAGACTGTAGGAGGAGTAGCATTTTGAAAGAATTTCACAGAAATTTCTATTTTTAGTAACCACAGCAACAACGTTCATCGAAATCAAAAACCGATAAACAGGATTATGTATCTTCGTGTAGTCTACTTGTGTGCCAAGTTATATTGAAATCAGACCAAAACTGTAGGAGAAGTAGCATTTTGAAAGAATTTCACAGAAATTTCTATTTTTAGTAACCACGGAAACACCGTTCATCGAAATCAAAAACAGATACACAGAATTATGTATCATAGTGCAGTCTACTTGTGTGCCAAGTTATATTGAAATCAGACCAAAACTGTAGGAGGAGTAGCATTTTGAAAAATTGTTTACGGACAGACAGACAGACGGACGCCGGACGCATTACTATCGCATAAGATCCTCTGGTCTCTGACCAGTAGAGCTAAAAATGAAATGATATGATATCCATAGAGTTCGATATCAGGACGGAGACAAATATTTTTGCTACATAGAATGTCCGTCGATGACAATGTCTGTGTAATGTCCCGTGTACCTCTCTGGCCTATACCCTTACTGAACCCTATACCCTTACTGTTGATACCACTTATTGAATTCAAAGTTTTTTTTTATTGAAGCATGTAGAAATTAATTCTCAAGTATAGTATTTTTTGTCTGTGTAACAATTGATGTGCAAGTTTCCTCAAGATTTGATTGTGGGGGGGGGGGGGGGGGGGGGGGGGGGGGGGAGGGAGGGGGCAATGTTCATATTGAAGTTTTGTACAAGAACAGGGTGTTCAATGTCTAACAAAACTTGTGATAAGCTGCATGTAAGTGTATGTAGTACATGTATACGATGAAGGTACATATGTAACGTAATCTTGAAATAGAATTTTTGATTATTTTTCACAAAAAATTTAGGGAAGGTTTA